CTCTCCAGATAAGAATATGGCGTCGCCGTTTGACATGACTTGTGGAATTACAAATGGCGCCGAAATGCATTATTTTGTCTTAAATATTGGATATCAGAAGCCCATCTTTTCCTGGTTAGATCACACCATCAATGTTGATTTAAATTGACAAATAATTCGTATTTTCAACGTGTATGACTTTGGATGATATTGAGTTAGAGACTTAGCTACTTTAATATATAAAAACGTAATAAATGTATTTGCTTTACCCAGCTTCAAATAGCTAGAAGAAATGTATTTTGTTCGTTCTGCACGACTGTCTTTCGTTTCTTGCTTCTCATTGTCGGAAATATTGCAATAAACTGCCCTTTTTTTATTTCTCGAAAAAAATCACTTTAAAAAGGTCCCCAAATATGTTGTCCTCGATTCGCTTCATGGATAATTATGGATAATTGAATTTTAACAACGCCGCGTAAATACCGACACGGGTAAGGTATCTGAATCATATCCTTTATTATATAAACACGTGAAAAATACATTTGCATTATCCAAGCTTCAAAGAATTAAAATAATATTTTTAGTTCGTTTCGCACATTCCATAGTTCGTTTCGTTTTTTTATACTTTCGATGGCCTACACTACATGAAGATCTGACAAGTTATAGCGATAGGTCACGTCAGGGGTCAAAAGGGCGACTTATGACCCTATGATGTCAGACATTTGATTAACCAATCAGCATTGATGTTATTAGTGGATTACCCACAGTTCCGTGCAAAACACGCCTAAAGCTCGCCGTAACAGACCGTTTCATTGGCTTATCCCTGACACCATTCAGAACACGAGTTAAATAAAAACTCTTCCAGATCCAAGTGTAGTAAAGACAAGTAAAACGAAATTTTGAACTATAAAAACGAAACGAAATAGGATCTGTGTTTTAACCAGATTGGTTTCGCACGCTGTGGAATCTTCTTATGTATAATTTCCACTGTCAACTATCAAGGTTTAGTTTACATGCACGCCAATATGTACACGACACCTCGATTTTTCATCGCATACAAACAACTAGACACAATCCTTGCAAGGCCTTCTGTCAGGCATCAATGACAAGCAGACACCATGCGGAAAAATCCCGGGTAACTTGCGAGGTTAAGATCGGGATCGAACCCACGACCCCCTGGATAGTGAGCCACCGTCTTATTCATTTCGGGACTAACATGTGGTACAATTATATTTTAATACCGGGGGGTCTCTCTCTCTCTATTTCTTAATATCTTGTTTTCGCCTAACGGGTCTTTAGTGGTGGGAGGAGTGGGAGGAAAGTGGAGGACCCGGGGAAAAACCACGAGCACCAGATTGGGCAAGCGACACAGCACTTTGTCTCATACAAGACGTGTCTATTGATCGTGCTGTTAAAGTTGCAATTTTATATTTTTAAGTTATATTTTTAATATTTATTAAAATAAAGCCCTAAAATAGAGGGTATCTATAAACAGTCCTACCTTGTTAAAGAATAATCCTATTAATCCTATAATTCACTATTGCCAGTTGAGAAATTGGCAAAAATATCATTTCCATCTTCAAATTCTCCACGGTGGAGAATAGAAAACAAGGGAGGTAATTGTATTATTATTTCCGGTGTAAATGAGTTTTAAGTGTGAGAATGACACCTATGATCGTATAATAGTGAGTTGACAACCTATTGAGCAAAAGACATAGAAATAATTATTTTTTGACTTTCTTAGAAAATATGAAATTGAAACTTTAAAGGGTTCGTTAACTGCAGCAATTAGACAAAGAGCTGTTCGGTCAAAATTACCTAGCTCGTATTACATAGAAATAATAATAGCCATGACCGAGGTATTGATTTGAGGAAATAATACCCCCCCCCCCCCACACACACACACCCTTTACTACATTATGTAATAAACAACCATCTACGACACCTATCTATTAGTATCAAAACCCCAGCAAAGTTAATCTCATCTGAACTACAATTATAAATGATTTAGCAAAGAGAAGTAATGAAATTGAAAAAGTATTGACGTTATAAAAAATTTAGGCACATATACTTTCCCAGCCTTCAGAAAGCTTAAAGTTTAAAGATGGGTTCCCAGAAAAGTATTTATCGGGTGGTTATTTCCAATAAAAGTATGGCAATTTTGGTATATATGGAAAGTAGGGATATCCAATCTTACTAGAAAAATACTGGACTCCCCGGAAAACACTCATGGAGCGTATACAGGACAAAAATGTAAGGGTTGTAGCACCATGGGTCTTTCTGTCTGACATGGAGAGCGGGTGTTTGTGGACCGGTCGCCACATCCTACATACGATCCATGCATCTTTTCTTACTACATATTTTAGTAACCTTGTGATCGTCTAGAATTTGTCTCTGGTCGTCTTTGCCTCCACTTCACGTTGTGTGTTTACTTCTTCATGTTTTCTTAAGACGTTTGTCTTCTCAGTAGTTATGACAATGCAACAGTTCGTTTTTACATTTTATATAGCATAGCCGGATACATGGATACAAGCATAGTACAGATTACAATACTAACTAAAGTCATTCTCAAACACTAGCCCGCCAGACTCGATTTGGGCGAGTCTGCAAATATGATAGTTTTGTAGCTTTTGGCTTTGGATCTTCAATTAACTAATTGGTCAAATTTGATGTAAATAATTACAGAGATTGGTCAAATAAGCCAAATGATGCAATCGTAAATTTCCGTCACAACTTTTTCGACACAATCTATCCTTGAACTTAGAACCCCTTTCCTGTTATTCTCACGCTATTTCACAAACAATTAATTTGCGTTTTAAATAAACTCATACCATAGCTAATATATTGACAAGGGGGACAATAGAGAATAATTTATAAAGATAAAAAAATGTTGTTTAACCCATCTTATTTCTCTATTCCTTGTCTATAAATTTAAAAACAATGTCAAACGCGAAAAGTGAGCGCTTGATGTACAAGTTGATAAACTTTATGAAGAGTTAGACGTACAACACTTTCTGAGATAAAAATGATGGAAAAAGACGCGAGGAGTGGATAATCCGAGAATTTAATTAGGATTTGATATTTGTAATAAATAGTAAGCGATTAAAGACAACATCGTCTTATGTATGCAATGAATTCTCCTCTGACTTCCAAGAGAGGTAAGTCATGTGACGTAAACGTGGCCTGGTTTGATCGAATTTTTATACCAGGGCATTCCTTCGCAATTACAATGTTTGTGAGAAGGATTTGAAGCAAAATTATGACAAATTAATTAGTTTGAATATGTTTTAGTCCGTATATACCATTAAATCAACCAGTTTGTACGCGGGATTGTATTATATTATTGAGTATTAAAATACAGATGTGACGTCATCCTTTGATGTTGGCGTGCCATTATTTGAAATATGGTACGGGCAATGTGTCAAGCGTGACGTATTTCATTGAATGCACGTGCTGGATAGTATTTGTATTTAGAGTTGTTTAATGGTCTCGTGCAAGATATTGCGTAATATATAGATCTAGCACTCGTGCAGTATCAATATCCCAAGAATAACAACATGGCAGTCCTTTAATCTGGGGCCTTCCCTAAAACTTTGGACAGTGATTTATGGTATTACAAACGGTGGACGTATTGTTCGTCTCCAAACAATATTGTCTAGATTGTATCTGTTTTGATAGCCTCGTTTGTCACGCAATTAGTTTTTCTGCAATATTCTTCTATGCACTGGTTAATAGGGGATAATAAAATCGTGAGTCATGACGTAACGTTATGTAAACATAATAATTTGGTTATTTGGGCCGATTTGGAGCTCTGTTTAAAGCGTAATAATATTGCTACGCAGTTAGGTATTGGTTGTTAATCGGACTAATTTGGAATAGAAATTTGCTTCCATTACAGCAGTGTTAAGTGGGATTAGCTCTAATAAAACGAAACACTGCGAAGAGTATGATATACCAGTATAAATATAGTGTTATAAAATTATAGATAACCGGTCTATATTGTTATATTATATAACAAATTGGCCTTTTTACAAATATTTTTTTAAACATATTTTATTCACTGTAAATGAATGGGAAATTGCATACCCCTCGCAGTGTTTCGTTTGATTAGAGCTAATCCCACTACTCACTGCTGTACAGAAAGCAAATTCTTGTTCTAAATTATGACTGGTCAATAGTCCGATTAACAACCAATAGCTAACTGCGTAACAATACCAAACATAGCTCCACATTGGACCAAATATGTTTACATAACGTTACGTCATGACGCACGATTTTATTATGCCCAATTAACCAGTGCATAGCAGAATATTGCAGAAAAACTAATTCCGTGACAAACGAGGTTATCATCAACACGGATGTTATGTAGGCTAAACGAAACTGCTTTGAGACGAACAACACTTTCAAAGTTTTAGGGAAGGCCCCTGATTAAAAGAAGGGCTGTCATGTTGCTGGTATCTCGTCCTGTTATCTTTTGTCTTCTGTACATATATACAAAAACCTAATTATCCTCTTTTTCCACTAATCATATTGTAAATTATTGCACCATGTACACATAAAATGTTATTGTCTGCGATATCACCTCGGTGGAAGCGGACGTAAAATACAACTAACTCACACACACATGTTGCTGTGCTTGGGGATAGATTTGATTGAACGGGAAGAATAGACACACTCCCTCAAAAGCGCAAGTATCAAAAGCTAAACCAGCAATAGCCAGAGAGGGATTTCTAGAGCCAATGCTTCAGGAATATGGGGAAATTGGGGGAACAAGCAAAATGCATATTCCAGACCACTATCCCTATTTAGAATACAAATTATATAATGAAAAACGGTGGATATTATATACAATATTTACAGCCTGTACTTAGCTGAATAGGGCCTAGTCCTAAAGTATGTAATAATAATCATTTTACAATCTAACTTTATATCATAGCCAACAGAGCGGAACGTGTAGGCCTACCCTTATTATAACAGCTTATTATAATCCACGTTTAACTTTCAAACCAGCTAGCAATAGTTCACCTGTCTATCACGCGACATTTGTTGTTCAGACATGACGATTTGTGATTAGAGGTAGGTATAAGGAAGTCATCTTGGGTTCAGGTGTGTGGATGTAATTGAGGCTGGTAATGGCTGAGTGACGTCAACAGCTAAGTAGAGGCAGGTATATATTATAAACTAAGCAAGGTCTCCATGTCGAGATCTATCGGATTGTGAACTCGATTATTAATGTATGGTGAATATTTTTTGTATAAAGTCAAACCGTGAACTCTACTTTTCTCTTAAAATTTTCCTGTTTTGTATGACATTTATTTAATTTATCGTTTGTTATTGTTTATGTCGAATCACCAGTCATACAGCAAAACTACGCCCTGAATACGGCACGCGGCGCACCAGTACAACAGTGATAAAGAGTACAAGGAACAGGTTTTGTTTATAAACCGTGGTATTGATCATAACATGTGGCGGTTAGATTCCGGTCCCGGCTTGGAGCGGTTCGGTGTCTCCACATCTTTTACGAGAGGGGAGGAGAAATGAAATGGGGTTTAACGTCCTACTCTTCTGCTCCGACTAGGCTAATAAAGACGGGCATTACAGTGTGCTATGAGGGAAATTGTGCCCGGACAGCGGCGCAACGACCAACGCTTATATCGAATTCCAACTGTCAAGGGATCTTTTACGTGCACGCCAACATGTACACGTGATCTCGATTTTTTGTCCCATCCGAACGACTAGACAGCTGTCCTTGTCCGGCCCTCCGTCCTGTACCACTGACAAGTGGAAACCACGCCAGAAAATCCATATGCACTTGCTCGGCCAACACCGGGAGCGAACCCGCGACCTCCAGACTAGCGAGCCAGCGTCTTACTCAGCCACTGTGGCTCCCAGAGGGGAGAAGGGAAGACTAGTGATAGAGAGCGAAAAGGGGCGGGGAGAGGTGGCCTCCTAACATCAATAATCATTAATCGTCAATTCCATCAGAGAGTAAGAGTTTAACGTCAATACTAACGAGGCCATATATTTCAAAGTAGACAGTGTGCGTGTGTGTATGGTCGTCAGAAAATAGAAAGACAGGGGGGCGCCAAATCTGTACCTGAGCTCTGGCTATCGGGGACTGCTGTAGTTTAATGTCTGCATTGAGAGCCCCCCACCCCCTCGTCCTCCCCAACTACCTAGGTTCTATAACCCGAAAATATAAATAAGCGTCAAGGTCCATTATTATGTAGATTTAAAAAAAAAACGCTTACAAAATCGAATATCGCGTGCAAGGGTGACACCAAATCAAACTGCGACACCGAGTCTAACCGGACATCGAGTCAAACCGCGACAACGAGACTAACCGGACACCGAGTCAAACTGCGACATCGAGTCTAACCGGACACCTAGTCAAACTGCGACACCCAGTCTAACTGGACATCTAGTAAAACTGCGACACCCAGTCTTACCGGGCATGGAGTCAAACTGCGAAGAGACTAACCGGACACCGAGTCAAACTGCGACATCGAGTCTAACCGGACACCGAGTCAAACTGCGACACCGAGTTTAGTCGGACACTGAGTCAAACTGTGACACCGAGTCCAGCTGCGACACCGAGTCTAACCGCGGAATCTAACCGGACATCGACTCAAACCGCGACAACGAGACTAACCGGACACCGAGTCAAACTGCGACATCGAGTCTAACCGGACACCTAGTCAAACCGTGACACCCAGTCTAACTGGACATCTAGTAAAACTGCGACACCCAGTCTTACCGGGCATGGAGTCAAACTGCGACACCGAGTCTAATCAGACATCGAGTCAAACTGCGATACCGAATCTAACCGGACACCAAATCAAACTGCGACACCGAGTCGAATCGGACATCGAGTCAAACCGCGACGAGACTAACCGGACATCGAGTCAAACTGCGACCTCAAGTCTAACCGGACACCGAGTCAAACTGCGACACCGAGTTTAATCGGACACTGAGTCAAACTGCGACACCGAGTCACGCTGCGACACCGAGTCTAACCGGACATCGAGTCAAACCGCGACAACGAGACTAACCGGACATCGAGTCAAACCGCGACAACGAGCCTAACCGGACACCGAGTCAAACTGCGACATCGAGTCTAACCGGACACCTAGTCAAACTGCGACACCCAGTCTAACTGGACATCTAGTAAAACTGCGTCACCGAGTCTTACCGGGCATCGAGTCATACTGCGAAACCGAGTCTAACCGGATATTGAGTCAAACGCGACACCGACATTATGACTGGTTCTTCACAAGTTTTCAATATCGAATTTTAAGTGATCAATAAATATATTATAATATATTGACGAGCCTTCAGGTGTTTTATTGTATTCGTCAGGTTATACAGGTGAAGTCGATCATGGATCTATGACGAGCGTTCAGGTGTTTTATTGTATTCTTCAGGTTATACAGGTGAAGTCGATCATGTATCGGCCTCTGGTTAAACCTGTTAACTCCTGAAAACCGTGCTATAAATATAACTTATTGTATTTTTCAGGTGATACAGGTGAAGTTTATTATGGATCTATATTGGGTTAGTTGCTTGCTAGTTTGGCCATTGTCAACTGTCATTGGTAAGTTGAGATGAAAATGAAATGAAATCGGGTTTAACGTGAAATGGAATGAAATGAAATGGGGTTAACGTCCTACTGTTCTGTTCCTAACCTGGGCTAATGAAGACGGGTATACGCCATATATACAGTGTGCCAAGGGATCTTTTACGTGCACGCCAATGTGTACACGGGACCTCGGCTTTTCGTCCCATCCGAACGCCCTACGCGCAAGCGAATTATTGAAATAAAATTAAACCATATGTTAGTCCCAAAATGACCTGGTTTGTGTCGGGTGGACGTTAAACCCCATTTCTCTCTCTCTCTCCCATCCGAACGACTAGACAGCTGTCCTTGCCAGGCCTTCCATCCTTCATCACTGACAAGGGGAAACCACGCCGGAAAATCTGAATGAACTTTCTCGGCCAATGCAGGGATCGAACACCCTACCTCCAGGCTAGCGAGCCATCGTCTTACCCACTTAGCCACCGTGATCCCCGGGACTAATGAAGACGGGTATATGTCATGTAGAGTACTATGGTGGTTATTTTGCCCGGACAGTGGCGCTAAAGCCTACTCTTATATCGAATTCCAACTGTCTACTCTTAGGCCTATATCAAACTATTTGGTAAATTTCATGACTTGCGGAATATGTCCAGCCCCTTGTTACAAATGGCGCTGAAACGCATTATGGTACACGATTCGTGTACCAATGGCAAAATGTTTGTTTTGACTTAAATATTGCATATCTAAAGCACGTCTTTTCCAGGTAAGATCACAACATCAATGCTGATTTAAATTGACAAATAATTCGTGTTTTCAGTGTCGAAGATTGTGGCTGATATTGAGTTAGGGACTTAGCTACTTTAAATGAACATTTTTGATATACACCAACTTGTTTCTTAATTAGTTTTATCAATACCCGAAAAATAATTTTAAATCTATACTTTGTTTCAGGTCAAACGTTTGAACTGAAAGCGGAAATTCCATATAGTGTCATAGGTGCAAGTCATGGGTTTACCTGCAAGATGGTCAATGGGGGATTCCCTGGTGCTGCTCAGGGAATCCGGTTTATGCGTAATGGAGACACTATCTGTTCGGTAAACAAAAGAAACTGCAATGCGACAGATGTGAAAAGTGCCCGGTTCACGTGTGGCTGTATCAAGGGAGACAACTCTAATGTATATTTAAATATCAGCGGGATTGAGAGCGATGATGAAGCTAAGTGGAAGTGTGGTTTAGGATTATATAATTTATTTAGTGATATGATCGACCTACCTTTATATTGTAAGTTAATATTGTTACTCATGCATCCAGTCACCCACGAGTTGGTGGAATATCACCAGGGACCTGCTTTAAAGGCCTGTCCGTGTCAAATCACCCAATGTGAAAGACCAGACCCTCTTTGAATTTATTGAAATTTGGTTATATATGCTTGGTTTATTTACAAAGACTGGTATTCAGGTTGATCCCAAAGTAGCGGTTGCTGGGATATGGCCCATTGAAACTTGGCCATTTTGGTTAAAGTGGGCGTGTCCACTCGTATTCAAATGCCCGTAGTTTAGTAACCGATTGGTCAAAATTACTGAAATAGGTATCGCATGTCCAACCTCGTGGTTTTTCTGAGAGTCCCTCGTGTTCACTCCGCTGCTAGAGAACCCTACAAGCAAGTGGATTATTGACATTAAATTGAACCCGAAATGACATAGGTTGTGTCAAGCAGACGTTAAACCTCCATTTCTCTCTCGACCTCTTTGACCGTTGATCATCAGATTGATTTAAACTGTAGGAATCGCGTCTCATTGAAGGGTATGCGAGGCTCCCGTCTCAACTGCACCACATTTGTAAATGAAATAGGGTTTAACATCCTACTTTTCTGCTCCGACTGGGCTATTGTACGTGACAATGAGTAGGATCGCCTGTCCAACCTCGTGGAATTTTCTCCGGGCCCTCCGGTTTCCTTCCACTGCTAAAAACCCCTACGCGCAAGCGAATTATTGAAATATAATTGAACCATGTGTTAGTCCCGAACTGGCCTGGTTTGTTTCGTTGAGTGGACGTTAATCTCTCTCTCTCTCTCTCTCTCTCCCTCACACACACACACACACACACACACACACACACACACACACTGGGCTAATGAAGATGTGCATACGCCATACAGTGTGCTGTGAGGGGAATTTTTCCCGGGCGACGGCACTATGTCTACTCTTGTATCGAATTCCATCTGCCTAGGGATCTTTTACGTGCACGCCAATATATAAACGGGACCTCGATTTTTAGTACCATTCGAGCAACTAGACAGCTGTCCTTGTCGGAACTTACGTCCTGCACCACTGACAAGGGGAAACCACGCCGGAAAATCCCGATGAACTGCCGGTCTAGTCCTTCGGATGATATGAAAAACCGAGGTCCCGTGTATAGATTGGAATGCACGTAAAAGGTAAAAGATCCCTTGGCAGTTGGAATTCGATGTAAGAGTAGGCGATAGTGTCGCTGCCCGGGCAAAATTTCCCCCATAGCACACTGTATGGCGTATGCTCGTCTTCATTAGTCCAGCATAGGAGCAGAACAGTAGGACGTTAAACCCCATTTCGTTTCATTTCATTTGTATGTTACAGATGGTCCAGGATCTAGTATGACCACCTCACCCGCTACAATCAACAGTCATACGGTGAACGAGGGAAGTAGTCTCGGACCTATAACATGTACATCCAGCTGTAAACCGCCCTGTACTATAACATGGTTTAAAGACTCAACATCGTCGTCTATAATCTCTAACAGTCCAGTCCTCTATCTGACTGATGTCAAGACAAGAGATAAAGGAACATATCTGTGTGAGGCGACGAATCTCATTGGATCCAATACAACTGCTATACAAATTCACGTATATGGTCAGTTCTATTACAATCTAATTAAAACACAGATCCTATTTCGTTTCGTTTTTTATAGTTCAAAATTTCGTTTTACTTGTCTTTACTACACTAGGATCTGGAAGTGTTGTTATATTACCGGTGTTCTGGTTTAAGTGAGGGATTAGCCAATTAAACCACCTGTTACGGCGACTTCTTGGCGTGATGTGCACGGAACTGTGTGTAAACCATTAGAAACGTCAACGCTGATTGATTAATCAATGTCTGACGTCATAGGGTCAAAAGTCGCTTGTATGACCCCCAACGCTACCTCTCATTACAAGTGGTCATATCTTCATGTAGTGTGTAAGCCATCGAAAATATAAAAAAAAAAACGAAACGAAATATAGATGTGTATTTTAATTAGGTTGGTTCTATTAGAGTCACGACGTGTCATTTGCATGAATTTTCCGCTGAAATATCAAATATTCCAGGGTTTAATTCACGCAAATATTTAATAGATCATTTAACAAGTCAGATGATATGGAAAAGGTGTTTTGAATGGTGTATATCTCGATAAAAAATATTTCCTATTTAGTGTAAATAGGTACATAAAATAATACGAGGAGGCGTAAAATGAGTAAAATACAAGTCTGCGCGGACTACATTGTATTACTACACCCGATGTAAACAACGCACAGGTGGGTCTAAATATAAAGGCCACCTGCAGATTTTGTCAAGGTCAAGAGATGTAAACAGTGCTAGCGCTAACTCTAACCCTGTTTACATCTCGTGACTTTGGCGAAATCTGCAAGTGGCCTTAATATTAAGACGCGAGCAACAAGGCACGTGTTATCGACGCCATGTGTAATAACTGTATTATTTATAGGGATGATGAAATCAGAAGGTCATACAAGTTTATCCTTTGGTCTGGGTGTAGGTGTTGGTATTGCTATTTGTGCTATTGTCATGGTAACTGGTATCTGTATAGGTTGTATATGTCATAGACGATACAAGTTAAGAGAAAAGGGAGGGAAAGGTAAGAGCCAAGTTTTATAAATTCCCCCCTTTTTTGTACGCCCACATTTTCATGTAGACGTATATTGTCATCGCCCCTGTCCGTCCGTCCACGGGGGGTTGGATGGCCGATTGGTTAGCACGCACGCGCTGTATCATACGGTCTGTCATTGAGCCAACTGGCGGGGTTTCGATTCCCCGGTTGTACGTGACAAGCCCGAGTAGGGTCGCCTGTCCAACCTCGTGATTTTTCTCCGGGTCCTCTGGTTTCCTCCCACTGCTAAAGACCCCTACGCGCAAGCGATTTATTGAAATAAAATTAAACCATATGTTAGTCCCGAAATGACCTAGTTTGTGTCGAGTGGACGTTAAACCCCATTTCTCTCTCTCTCTCTAGTTTGTAAAGGGATTAAAATTGTGACTTGATCTGTTTTCAGCCGAGTATTTGTCTACTGCTTTCGATCAGTAAGTTTACGTCTTTCCAGCGGCACCTACTTGTTCGAGCCAAAACAAATTGCTTTTGTTCTTTCACTTTCACAATTGATTTTGTTATTCTTCTGTTATTGTACTATTTTGTTATTCTTCTGTTATTGTACGATTTTTTTTTATTCTTTTGTTATTGTACTATATTGTTATTGTACTATATTGTTATTGTACTGCACTATTTTGTTATTCTTCTGTTATTGTACTATTTTGTTATTCTTCTGTTATTGTACTATATATTTTGTTATTGTACTATATTGTTATTCTTCTGTTATTGTACTATATTGTTATTGTACTGTACTATTTTGTTATTCTTCTGTTATTGTACTAATTTGTTATTGTATTGTACTATTTTGTTATTCTTCTGTTGCACTCTTTAATTTTGTTATTATGCATTGTATACTCTGTAACAATGCATTCTAGACCGTAACTCAGGGGCGGATCCAGGAATTTTCGCAGGAGGGGGTTTGCCAGGTTCCCGAGACAATGTATCTCGCCCCCCCCCCCCCCGCATGGTCCTTATCATCATTTTGGCGTATATACATACACATTGAGCTTTTTAAACAGAGAAATTCAACACCTCGTTTGACGTCAATTTTTATTATGAATTAATGCAATGACATTGTGATTCAATTTCATGGATGCAAAGCATTAAATTACTCACATAATGTCTATATCATTATCTCGTGCTTTGAGAGCCCATCCTGTCCAACATCTGACGATAAAGGATAAAGCACACGGCCGAGAAACTTTTCTCATAGAAAGTGTTGATTTACAAAATAAATTATGTAGCTGAGCAAGGGGGGGGGGGTGTCGCCCCCAACCCTCTCGATCCGCCCCTGTAACAATCCATTGTATATTTCAATGTTCGCAATTCTTTCACTGTTCTCTGGTTTGGGTCTAATATGGTCAATGTTTTGTTTTATAACAGTTTTTTCACGGGCTTTTCATAGTCGCTGGAGATTGAAATACCCAGCCAGGGTAGATGCTTCTACCCCTTGGCAATTACAAACCCAGGATCGAATCCATAAAAGGGGGTTTGGTAGGCCCAATGGTCTAATGCGTGCGCTTTGGGTCATACGGTTTGTCATTCAGTCAAGTGGCTGTCCAACCTCGTGGGTTCTCTCCGGGTCCTCGGATTTCCTCCCGCATCTAAAGCCCCGTATAATTGAACCATATGTTAGTCCTGAAATTACCTAGTTTGTGTCGAGTGGACGTTACCCCCTCCCCCCTCCCCCCTCTCTCTCTCTGTCTCTCTCTCCGATGGACTGACACTGGCTGTTAAATATTCTAAAACTGACTAATTTTATTTTGTATTTCAGCAGTAGTTACATGTCAGCAATATTTAAAGAATCGCCTGATGTAAAATTATCGTTTTCAACTCCAAAACCTGATACTTCGGACGACGATAATGATTTTGTTTTGCTGCCATTATGATGTTTTAAGAATCCCTGAATTTAGCAACGAAATAGCCGCGTTTTCATCTGTACTTAATTCACGATGATAGTTAATCTTATTTCGTTTAATCATTGCCCTGAAAATATCGGGAATATTCGATTAAACGTTCCGGAATTGAATTCTCTTAATCCCCAAAATTGTGTCAATCAAGTGACGGGGTGGGAGGATTTTGGGCTACAATGCATAAGAAAGTATATCAACCGACCAAGTTCTGCTCCGACTGAGTTAATGAAGACTGGGCAGGTTTAATATATCCGTCGTATTTAATTACGTCACTATTCTACTCACACTCCGTCACTTGTCGGGACTAAGAGCACTGTGACAGGATTCAATTACGCGTCATTCGATTCAAATTCCGTCGATTCTTTTCATTCGGGACGTTCCGGACTGACGATCGAGCATCTCCGTCATTACTATCTATCGTTTAAAAACAACGTAATAATCGTGTTGAATGGCCGAATGGTTAGCACGTGCGGGCTGTATCATAAGGTCTATCATTGAGTCAACTGGCATGGTTTCGATTCCCCGGTTGTACGTGATAAGGAGAAGGGTCGCCTGTCCAACCTCGTGGGTTTTCTGCAAACCTCCGGTTTCCGCTCACTGCTAAAGACCCCTACGCGCAAGCGAATTATTGAAATAAAAGTGAACCATGTGTTAGTCCCGAAATGACCTAGTTTGTGTCTAGTGGACGTTAAACCCCATCTCTCTATCTATTCAGCTTTCACTCAGTGTGAACCGCAAGGGGAGACACCTCTGTTTGGGAGATTGTGATTGAGGCTCCACGATCATCAAGTCCCGCGATATTTACGGTGATGCTCGATTATCAGTCCGGAACGTTCTGAATTGACAGACTTGCAGTCACGTGACGTAGAATTCGGTCCTGTCACTGTTCTGTCTACACCGACAATAGAGGGGGGGGTGAGTAGATTCATGACGTAATAAAACACGATGAATATGTTTAAGCTATCACGGTTTGTTGACATAAGTTCTTATAGAGTCCTGTCACTGTTCTGTCTACACCGACAATAGGGGGGGGGGGGGGGGGTGAGTAGATTCGTGACGTAATAAAACACGATGAATATGTTTAAGCTATCACGGTTTGTTGATATAAGTTCTTATAGATTCGGCGCATGTGTTGTAGCTCGAGTATCCCATACTGGGCAAACCTCGGCATATTCCGTTACTCTACATCTAGCCTCGGCGGTATGACGGTAAGTGATATGTACCTACACCTATACAATTGCGATGTGGCACCGGTTTACTTATTAGGAAAACTTGCCGCTTTTAAAAAGAAGTTATCAAAATTGCGTCGTTAGAAGCGTGTGTAGAATTTTTAGTGCAAAGTTGTCCTTGTTTGAAGACAATGCGCTAAACTTGAAAGAAAAACAGCTTCAAACTTTGAAATATTTGTATGATAAAAACATTTTTCAAAGGCGTCGTCATGGGCAACGCCATTGGTAATCCGGGAACTTGAAAGTAGTTCCAATGGCGGACTTCGTCATACAGCCGAGGCTAGATGTAGGGTACTGGAATCTGCTGAGGTTTTCTGAGTGGAGTATCCCATATCTGTTTATGGACTATGGGCGTTATGCTAGAATGATCTCAGCAGCACCACTATATTTTTTTTCTATTTTTTTTACAAATAATATACATGTTGTATTTAAGATTTTGATTATTTTTGTGTGAATATTTTGGTGGTATTTATTTATAATAAAACACGTAGTATTTATGATGATATATAACATGAATTTCATTTCATTAAACATGTATTTTGTATTTTACGCAGCAATTAATGATGGAATTGACGATTATCAACGTCATTAGCCCCCCCCCCCTGTCCCTCTCTCTCTCGTTCTCTCTCGCTCCCTCCCTCTCTCCCTGTCTCTCCCCCTCTCCCTAGATTAAAATCGGGCAATGACATCATAGTCTGTTAATCCAAATATGGCAACCCCATGCGTTAGAAACGTGGACACCCGTCCTCCTGGGTGCCCATATAAGTACACTGTGTTGAAATTCAGGGTAGCTTCTGTGCAGTTGACCAGTCAGATAAAGGAAGTACTGTGACACTATCTTAGTGATAACAGAGATTAGTTTAGTAAATATATGATTTATTTACATCAGGTATATAACACTTTACATACAAAGTAATACAGAAACTGTAAGTAATATACAAGAACTAGACTACAGCAGGAACACATATAACTATATTAAATCCAGCATTCTGCCCCTCTGCCAAGGCAGTGGCTGAACTCGGGTGAGTCCATACGCCTGTCTCGAGTCGTCTTTAGTCGTCTGTGATCGTCTGCCTAACTGTCAGTAAACTCCTGATTATATAGCGCCGGAGAATAGATAAGACACATTATCCTACATGCAATTGTCTCTTTAACACGTCATGGTATGCTTACTGACCAGTACATATTCCTTTGAAATCATGTGGATCTTGTACACAGAGCATATGTAGTTTGTAAATGTTTAATTAGACCATAGCCAGTCCGTGCCTTAACAGAAGTTTATATAGAGTTGAAAAGTCAATATCATATATTATCAAAACCTAGGTGAGGTCATACAGTTCTAAGCACCTAAAAAAACGTTCAATTTGATGAAAGTTATAGAGTACTTTGTCACAGTACCTGGTCCATTTTCCGGGGGTCAGTCCATGACTCATGCACGTATCCTCTTTATAACAACGAGCGTGATTAAGTTCCTTTAGACATCATTTCGTATCCTCAGAAGGACGTCCCCACCGCCTCCTCGGCTGAGAGACTGATAAACAGACATCATTTAGAAACAAGACATATTCTAAGCGGGGAACATGTAGCAAGTTCTATCAGCAGACTCGCACGGAGAAGATTGCATGGGAGTGGGATAGAAAGGGTGACTTTATGTATAATCCATGTTTGTAACCTATGTATCTAGTGAAAGAGTGACTTTATGTATAATCCATGTTTGTAACACATGTATCTAGTGAAAGAGTGACTTTATGTATAGTCCATGCTTGTAACCTAGGTGTCTAGTGAAAGAGTGACTTTTTATGTACAGTCCATGCTTGTAACCTATGTATCTAGTGAAAGAATGACTTTATGTATAATCCATGCTTGTAACTTATGTATCCAGTGAAGGAGTGACTTTATGTATAATCCATGTTTGTAACCTATGTATCCAGTCCTTGACATTAAATGTAGAAACTAATTGTGGTACGGTTATTCGTGTGCGGAACTATAAACGGAATAAGAGAAGAATATATACACAATGTTTAAAGATTTACAAAAATAACCAGAGAAAATACTAGACGATCATAAGGCTATTACAATATGTAGCAAAAGAAAGAGTATGCGACACGCGTTGGATGTGGGGAGCTTTTTGGTAGCCTGCCTTTCTTTCCACAACTAACCAGAGACTCGTTAGATAAAGTGTTAAGAGTGTAAAAAAATAAAATCGTCACAACAAAGCAGTTACAATATGCAAGAGGCAGGCGTCACTTAGGCTTGTATGAATTCCGTGAATTTAGCATGGGATATATCGCGTTTGGGGCGCCACGTAAGCGTGTATGAATTCCGTGAATGTAGCTTGGGACATATCGCGTTTAATGAATTCATATTGATTATATAACATTTAATACGAAACCTGAACTCAAATCGATTTTTAACTTTTAATTATAAAACCCCAAATAACACTGGTTAAAATCTTACAGGCGGTCATTTCTGATCGGAATTCAACCATTTTGAGTTGATATAACTTTTACAGGTTCAACGTTCACAACATTGAAATATAATAATTTTACAGAAATGGTTGACACTTGATATTATGAAAATTAGCAGCCTCTTCAACCACCTTTAGTTTTTTCAGGTCAAGATTGTACACACCTTTATTCACAAGTTGTCGTGTCTTATCATAATGTTCCTTTATCATAGAGCTGCAATGTTTATTTTTATTTTTACACCACGTAGTGAGGTGTTCTTGTTTTATTGTATTACAGAATTCAAACAATGCCCACATTACATTTGTTTTAAATGGTTCACACATTTGTTTTATATCTTGTTGCATGTTGAATACCGTGTTATTAACCGCTGTACAATAAGCTTGACGATTTACTATATTTTTATCATCTTTATAATATTTTTCGTGTAATGTCACGTGGAAATCGGGTGTTAAATCAGAAGAAGTTAATTCGTGACCTGGGATCAGATGAAGTTTGTTGTATTTCTGTAAATCTACATTTCCAATATCAATATGCCAATCATATCTCTCCTTTTCAAAATAATAGGCATATGTCATAACAATATTTACTGGGCTCATAACTCCAACATCTTGTGATCCTACTCGAATATAAGCTTCTTCTATCGTGGAAACGTTGACATATTTTAAGATATGATTTCTACAATTGGTTATTGTGTCTCTCCAGATATACACAGGAAAATAGGTCATAAAGTCTGACGGCATGCGCTTCCCGATCATTTGTTCAGTAAATCTGTCCCAACTTCTTAGCCAAGGATACTGAAATGTGTCCATTCCTTTTACGCGCAGTTTTTTTCCATTAAGAATATTTTCAGGTGTCACTGGAGTAGTAAATTTAGCATCAGTATCTATCCAAGCTACTATCGGTGTTGAAATGAATTTGTCTATAATAAAACTAGAATATAGTTGACGATTGTAGCCACGAGATCTAGATTTCGCTACGGTTAAAACACGTTTGTTTTTAGGCAGAGGTTCGTAGTAAAAATTCATATTTATTCCTAGTTGTTCCTGATATTTTTGAAGATTCTCTGCGAATTTGTGATCATCTTGGGATTCTTTGTCCAGTATCAGTCCAAGATGTCCTAGCTGACCAGACCAATACAGAGTCAGACTTTTCAACATCGTACAATAAAAATAATTTAGAAGACTCGACACAGTACTAGACATCCTAACTGTTAACGTCATATCCGGAACGTCTTTAAAATGAGATATCGTCTTACGGTTGGTTGTTGGGTCTAGGTTGGACATAGAGTGGTGTACCGGATCCTTCTTAACACTAGTTGTTGGCTGTATGTTGGAAACAGGCTGATATACAGGAGCTGCGTGACCACTGACTGCTGGACGTATATAGGACACAGGCTGATATACAGGAGCTGCGTGACCACTGACTGCTGGACGTATATAGGACATATGATGATGAATGCCTATAATAATTACAGCTAACAAAATGGCTACAACAAGACAGAATTTATTCCCCTTCATCTTACTCTGAAAAAGAAACCAAAAAGTGAGATAATTGTTAGTAATAATAACTAAACCTATGATTCACTAATGTCGAGTTTCATTGGTTAACTTTAACCTTTAAACGATGTAACTGTCCGTATCCATGGAAACAGTCCAGAGAACCCAGGAAAGACAGACCCGACATCCGGTGTTGATTTTAGTTAAAATATAGGATATATCTTAAGTTTATAACGTCTTCTTGTCAACAAAACAATCTGTTCAATTATCAGTGGATATACATGTAAAGTGAACAATCAATCGATCAGTAACCATCGACATATGGTAATTCGTATTTGGTTATAGTTAGATGTCATTTTATATCCAAATGACATGAATGCTGGAAATTTGACTATATGTAACTGGAAATTTGACTATATGTAACTAGAAATATGACTATATGTAACTGGAAATTTGCTTTACGACTATACATATTTATCACCCATTAATACATTTTACATTAGATATAGCAAGTGGGATAAATTATATAGCGAGTGTGATAAATTTCATAATCTACTGCGATATCGCGATTGGTCAGTTAAAAAGGAACTATTTTTGTATTTTCAAAGAACAGTTACTTTTTTTTGATTAAAAGTAAATTCTTTTGATTTAAAGTGATTTTTATTAAAAATGAAGTATTTTTTTTTTATTAAAAATGAAGTATTTTTTATTAAAAATGAAGTATTTTTTATTTAATTGACCTTAATGGAAACATTGGGTCAATATAAAGGGCTTTGCAATGGTTGAATTGCTATCAAAAATTGGTGTATCACTACGCCGTAATGTAATCAGGTTCAGTAAAAGTGAAGTCTATAGCAAAAATTATATTTATTTATTTGTGCATGTAAGAAAGGATTGGGTGATAAATAAAATCTCATACTCGTCGTTTTGGAAATCAAAAATATCAACACTCGTCGATAAAGTAAAAAAAAAAAAAAAATAAATCGGCATAACCTCGTTTTTTTTTTTTACTTTATCGAGTTGTGTTGATATTTTTGGTATCAAAAAAGACTCGTAGGAGACTCTCTCTCTCTCTCTCTCTCTATCTCTCTCTCAACCAGTGTTGAAATCAGTTTGTCTCGGCATACCTTTTATCTTTTCATGGTTTACCGTGAAACAAAGTAGTGCAGCTTTACGGTTGTGCTAATATTCCTGGATATATATATATATATATATATATGTATACAAATGATAGGCATTTGACTATATGTAACTTACCTGAAATAAATTATAAACATATAACTTACCTGGAATAAAATACAGGAAAACTGTTATTAATGTATAGGTCGTGTTTAATGTCCAAGGTGAACTGAATGATCTACTCTCCTGTTGTTTATTACAACTCTGTTCAAGGATGTTTTTATATTTAACAATATAAGACAACTTATAGATTGATGGTTACCGTGGACAATATATATTTAATTAATCTTATCAATGGATTATTAATTCATTGATCCTAATTACTAATTTTATGCTAAGCCATCTGTAGCCAATCTTGACACTGTATAACTTCACCCGA